TACCTCTCTGTTTATCTTAGCCCAGCTTGATAGACTTACATTTCAAGGTCCTTCAGAACAGGTAACATAGATTAAGTAAATGGAGTTTGGTTTTTTAATTTTTTCCAGAAGGAAGTTTTATTAAGGCTTTTATGTTCAAATACTATCCCTTAAATTATATATGTACTCTATATGAACTTTGTGTGTATCTTTAAATGTAAATCATACCATTTCACTCACCTGCTCACATCCCACTAAATGGTTTCCCATCTCCTTTGGAATGCAATCTCAACTATTTACAATAAGTTACATCACTTGAGTCATCACTACTCTCTCACCTCATCAACCCTCACTTGATCACACTACTCCAACAATACTGGCTTGTTTTCTTTTTCACAGACAGGCCAGACTTTTTCTGCTTCAGAGATTTGTATTTGCTTTCCCCGCTGCCTAGAAGGAACTTACCCCAGATTTCCAGGACTCACCCCCTCACTTTATTCAGATTTCTGCCCACATGAAATCTCTTTGAAGAGACCTTCCTGACCACTCTATCTAAAATAATCTCTAATCTCTCATTTGTGTTTTTTTCTTCATGGCTTGCATCACTAGCTAGAATTACACGATATCTTGTTTATTGTCTCTCTAGCACCTGGTTTATAATCTCCTTAAGGACTTTGTCTTATTTGCCATTGTATTAGTCTGCTTGGGCTGCCCCAACAAACCACCACAGACTGGGTGGCGTAAACAAAAGAAATTTATTTTCTCGCAGTTTTGGAAGCTAGAAGTTCAAGATCAAGGTTCCTACCAATTTGGTTTCCTGTGAGGACCCTTTTTAACTTGTAGACAGCCACCTTCTCAGTATGTCCTCATGTGGCCTTTCGTTGGTATGTGCACAAAGAACAGAGAGAGAAAAGAGAGGGAGGGAGTGGGGAGGAGGAGATGGAAGGGACAGGGACAGTAGGGAGAAGGTGAGAAGAGCTCTCTGATATAAGGACACGTACTAGGTCAGGGCTCCATCTTTAGGACCTTATTAAACCATAATTTACTTCATTAGAGGCCCCATCTCCAAATATAGCCATCTTAGGGTTAGGGCTTCTTCTGAATTTGGCGGTGGTGGGTGGAGACACACAAATATTCACTCTATAACACCACTGTATCCTCAGTGTCTAGAACAGTTGCCTGCCACATGGTAGGGACCTGATAATTGTAAATTTTGAATGGATGTTTCTAATACATAACTTTCAATAGTTTAGTGTTTCCACTTTATGTATGATTTTTTTATTTAGCCATCTCTCTGTTCTGCTGTTGGTAAACATGGCAGAACTTCTCATACTAATGGGAATATAAATTATTAGTCATTTTGGAGGATTATTCTTCATTGACAGGTTAATAAAATATTGAAATCAGCTACTTTGAGAGATTGCCACTGAGACCCCAAAGGGATATAAGAAGATGGCAAATTTGATATCTTTGTAGTTTGGAGTAATTTAATATTAGCTTCTTAGAGGCAGCATGTTATAGATAGGATTTTAAACCCCTTCCAGTTTTGATTCTTTAATTTTGATTCACTACCAGAAGTTCCCCTCCTGTCTAAATGATTAATGCCTTGGTTCCCAAACTTTGCTACTCACTGGAATACCTAAGGATCTTTAACAAGTCTTATGCCTGGCTCCCACTCCCAGATATTGTGTGGTAATTGCTATGGGTTGTCACCTGGGCTTTGGGATTTTAAACTCCCAGGTGGTTGTAATATGCAGCAAAGTTTGGGCATCACTTGGTTAGTAGGATTTTCAGATAAGTTCTGTTAGTTCGGAAGACTTCATTCTTTATACCATAGATAGAGACAGTTGGCGTTTCATGAGAAACTGCAGAGGAAGGTGGGGGAGATGGAATAGAGCAGAAATAATCTGGGAGGCCCCTACATCTGAGGACTTGACCAGTTCCTTATCAAAATTAGGTGATAAGACCTATATGCCACAACTCAAATAAGCAAGTGAAATTAATAATGTATTTTATTTAACCCAGTATATCCAAAATCATTTCAACATAAGCAGCGTAAAAATTCATTAATGAGAAACTTCATTGTCTTTTTTTTTTTTTTAACTAAGTTTTCAGTATCTTGGGTGTATTTTACACTTTGAACCTGCCACATTTCAAGTGCTTAATAGCCACATGTGACTAGTAGCTCCCAAACTGGACAGTACAGGTCTAGGTTATCCTTTCAAAGTAGATTGTATATTTAAGTTGTCTTTGGATTGTAGGTTCTCTCCCCAGAACATTTTCCTTCATAAGAGGTTTTGTTTTCATAAGTGTTTTTAAATTTCTCATTAGACTTTTAAGAAAACAGGTTTATTGATACTAATTTACATATCATAAAATTCACTCATTTAAAGTGTACATTTCAGTGGTTTTTGGTATATTTACAAAGTTGTACAGTCATCACTATACTCAAATTATAGTACATTTTTATCACCACAAGAAGAAATATTGTATCTATTAAGCAGTCATTCCCTATTCATCTTTCCCTTGCTACTGTTGCCCCTGTTCTTCCTCCAATCCCTGGCATCCACTGTTCTGTTTCTAGATTTGCCTATTCTGGACATTTCATGTAATTAGGATCCCACAGTACGTGGTCTTTTGTGACTGGCTTCTTTCACTTAGCATAATGTTTTCAAGGCTCATTCATATTGTAGCATGTATCAGGACTTAATTCCTTTTCATTTCTGAAGAATAGTCTTTTGAATGGGTATACCACATTTTGTTTATTCATCAGTTGATGAACATCTGCGTTGTTTCCCTTTTTTTTTTTTTTTGGCTGTTAGGAATAATGCCGCAATGAATGTGTGCATTACAATGGTTTTGTGTGGAGGTATGTTTCCATTTCTTTTAACTTATGCATGGAAGTGGCATTAACAGGGTCATAACAGTAACTCTATGTCTTTTTTAGAAACTGCTAAACTACTTTTCAAAGCACCTACACCATTTTACATTCTCACAGTGTGTTACAATTCCATTTTCTCCACATCCTTACCAGTATTTGTGATTCTCCTTTTTTTTTTTTTTTTTTTTTTTTAAGTGGCTTACAACAGCACGCCTTTATAAGCTCACAGTTCTATAGATCAGACTCTAAAGTGACTGGGCTGGATTCTATGCTTAAGGATATCACAAGGCCCAAATTAAGGTTCTAGAGAGGTTGAACTGTCTGGAGGCTCTGGGAAAGAATCCACTTCCAGGTGCATTCAGGTTGTTAGCAGAATTCAGATCTTTGTTGTAGGACCAAGGTCCCCATTTCCTTGCTAGTTGTTGGCTAAAACTTCGTGTGAGCCATTGAAGGCCTCTCTCTGGTCCTTGCACAGACTCCCTCCATCTGCAAAGCCATCAGTGGCACGTCATATCCTTCTCATGGTTCACATTTCTGACCTTCTCTTCTGCCACTAGGCAGGGAAAGCTCTCTACTTTTAATGACTCATGAGATTAGATCAGATCCACCTGAATAATGTTTCTGTCTTACAGTCAGCTGTAAATATCATGTGATTTCACTTATGTGGAATCTGAAAAACAAATGAACAAACAAAAACAGAAACAGACCCATAAATGGAGAAAACAGCTGGTGGTTGCCAGAGAGGAGGGGAAATGAGGGGAGTGGGCAAAATGGGTGAAGGGGAGTGGGAGGTATAGGCTTTTGGTTATGGAATGAGTAAGTCATGGGGATGAAAAGTACAGTACAGGGAATGGAATGTACTCAATGGTATTGTAATAGTATGGTGATAAATGGTAGTTGCACTTGTGGTAAGCATAGCATAACGTATAGACTTGTCGAATCACTGTGTTGTACACCTGAAACTAATGTAACATTGTCAACTACAGTTAAATAATCCACAGAACTTGTGAATATGATGAGATCACGCCTGTGATTGTCTTTTTGGTTGTAGCCATTCTCGTCTATTCACATTCTTTGCCCATTTTTTAGTTGGATTCTTTTTAATCTTGTTGAGTTGTAGGAGTGAATACAAATGTTCTAAATACAAATCCTTTTCAGACATATAATTTGCATATTTTTCTTCAAGTTTGTGGGTTGTCTTCACTTTCTTGATAGCATCCTGAGAAACATGCATATTTTTATTTTTGATGAAATTCTGTTTATTAATCTTCTATTGTTTGTGCCTTTGGTGGCTTATCTGAGAAGTCATTGCCTAATCCTAGATCACAAAGATTTATTCCTGTGTTTTGAGTTTGAAGTTTTAGCTCATATTTGCATTCATCTTTGTGGTGTGAGGTAGGGGTCTAAATTTATTTTTCTGCATGCGGATATCCAGTCGTCCTAGCCTCATTTGTTGAATCTCATCAAACTTGAATTAGCATGTTTATTTTTTGTTGCATATAATTAGTAAGTGTATTGATCCATAATTAAGGGAGCTTTTACTGGACTGCATTGCCTTATTAGATATATTTCATGTATTTTCTTAGTAGGCATGGTTTTAAAAATATTAGAGTCTGTAGTTCTGGCCAGAAGTATTCCCAAATTATGTTGTGCTGATGTTTTTGTTCATTTTCAGATTTATAGATCTCGGTCATGCTGGTATGTTCTGAGAAGAAACTAGCCTTTGTATTAAGAAATGAGGGATTTATAACCACCTAAAAATACAGTATAATTTAAGTGGGAAGTAGCATTAGACCTTTTCTTTGTTTCATTAAAATAATTCATATTGAATTCAATCAAATCTCTAGTTCAGTAATACTTGAGACTTAGCTTTAACTGACCTTGACTAAAGGCCACTTATGGTATACTTACAATTTTTAAAAAGAAAGATGGAAGTGGGAGCGGGGAGAGGATGAATGTAGCTTAGGTAGTAGAACAAAATCCCTAAAGTATGTGGTGGGAATGGGTTGATAGGAAGGCATTTAATAGTCTATGATTTGACTCTGCCTTAAAAGACCACAACAGTTAAAAATAATGAACCCTGATTTAAAATACTCTTAGCATACATTATCAAGTGAGAACATTTTGGGGGAAAAGTTTGTCAGATACTGAAATTTATTTTAAATTATACCAGAATTAAAAGTGGTTGCTTTCTTAGATAATATACATATATAATGTGTTATACCAGTAATCAATCACTGCATAACAAACCAGTCTAAACTGAGGGTCTTAAAATAGCAACAGTCATTTAAATTCTCGCAAATATGCAGTTTGGGTAGACCTCATGACTTGTTTCGGTTTCATGAAATGTCACCAGTAATGACTTGATGCAGGGCTAGAGGATCCACTTTCAAGGTGGCTCACTCACATGCCTGGAAAGTTGGACTGAGGGCCTAAATTCTTCTCCATAATAGTCCTCTTTGCAGCTGCTTGGATTTTCTCACAGTATGGTGGTTGGGTTCCTAGAAAACAAAGTGAAAGTTTGTGACATTTCCATGACCTAGTCGTAGAAATCACATACAGTCACTTCTGCTGTACTTACTGGTAGAGACCGTCACAAAGGCCTGCCTAGGTTTTGGGTAAGGGACATGAACTCTACCTCTTTTGGGGGCCATTTCTGGAAAATTTAATCTATCACATGTTATGTAATATTTCTTTCCAAGAAATCCTTGGGAAAATCAATGTAATATTTAGAAATTAATAGGGGAAGGCCAGAATTAAGTTAAAATGTCATCTGCGCAAGAAATTTTTAATTTCTCTTTCTCAGTTTATTTTCAACTATCTCTATTAAGAATTAACTGAAACTTTGGATATTCTAAATATATAGTTAATTTTGCAAATAAGGGGAAACCCCATCATGAATTACACAGTTAACAAAATGCAGTTATTGTCAAGGACCTAGTGTATAGTCATATTCATAGCTACACTTTATTAGAACAAAGGATCCAAAACAAAATCAGCAAAGGGAAAAGGCACGTGGGGCAAAATCCAGAGGAAACCAGCACAAACTTCGAAGTGTCTTCTTCCAGACTCACGTAGAATGTGCTTACTTCCTCCAGCAACAAATTGTGACAATATATGTGAAATTTGGGGGCACCTGGGTGGCTCAGTTGGTTAAGCCTCTGCCTTCTGCTCAGGTCATGATCTAAGAGTCCTGGGATCAAGCCCCACATGGGTTCTCTGCTTAGTGGGGAGTCTGCTTAGCCCTCTCCCTCTGCCCCTTCTCCCTGCCTTGTGTTCTCTCCCTCCCTCTCTCTGCCTCAAATAAATAAATAAAATCTTAAAAAAAATAAAATTTTGTCTACCCAGGAAGCTCATTGAAGACTTAACACCCTCAGTTTTTGTTGGGGCCTTGTCATGTAAGCACTCTAGCTAGCATTTATCAAGATCCCAGACTTCCAGAAGGAAAGCTGGTTGTTAACATAAACCATATTATTTACTTAAACAGTTTAGGCACAGTGAGCCACTCTTATCAGATGGAGTGATGGGGACCCTCCCAAAGTTCAAGTTCCTAGTCATTAGCCAAAGGCCAACTCTGCAGGCAGATAGGCCTGCTATGTTAATGCTTTTCTGTACCTGCACTTAAAAAAATATATTCCCAAATCTTCACTTGCTCTTGGTTGACCCGTGAATGTGTAGATTTCTGAGTAAACTCAGTGGTTAAAGAAAAATTTATAGATATAAATGAGATATAACTTGGCCATTTTGTTTTTTGTGTTTTTTTTTTTTAAAGATTTATTTGACAGAGACACAGTGAGAGAGGGAACACAAGCAGGGGGAGTGGGAGAAGGAGAAGCAGGCTTCCCACTGAGCAGGGAGCCCGATGCGGGGCTTGATCCCAGGACCCTGGGATCATGACTTGAGCCGAAGGCAGACACTTAACGACTGAGCCACCCAGGCGCCCCGGCCATTATGTTTAAAACCAAGACCAAATATTGGTTTCTGTTAAAACTTTAAAACTTCCTGATAGTATGGAGCTAGAACTTTAAACATAATACAAATAGGTGGGTTATAATGACAGAAATGAATATGTGTTGATAACTTTCCACCACCTTCTTCCTGAAGTACATCCTTGGAGAAGCAAGGCAAAATAACATGTTAAGAACATGAGTTCTGAAGCCAGACTAATGGAATCCTTTAGGATAGGGCTCCCCACCCTCTATCTGTCTCAATTTTCTCATATGTCCAGTAGGAATAATAATAGTATCTACTTTATCAAGTTGTTGGTGGAATAAGTGGAATAATAAGTGCAAAATATTTGTCCGGCAGTTAAGTGCTAATTCCTGTGTCATTCCATGGATCAGTGATTACATTTACTAAAACAAAAATCAAACCATCTATTGAGAAAAGTGTAATTCTGGGGCCTGCAGCCAGAATATGGGAAATAGTGTGTCTCCCAAGATTTTAAGGGTATATGATTCTTATACCTTTAAAATGCAGTGAGAGTTTGGGAGTTGTGGGTAGTTGGCATAATTTACTATAAAATTAAACCCAGAAATATTCAGGGTCTTCAATCCTAAATTAGTATATCTGCTGTTAATAGTACTGATATGACTACACAGTTCCATAAGATATTCATAATGAATTTAATTAACTGCCTGTATAAAAAAAACAATTGCCATGCTGTTGGTGGTGGTGGTTGTGTAGCCAGTGATAGAATTACGTTTGGCTAGCAATGTACAGATGGAATTATAATCTCAGTAGAAACCGAGAAATAGTTTTCTAACATTGTTACTAGTAGAATAAGCTTTCATAATAGGGAAGAAAGTACACAAGGACTTACTTAAATAAAAGAATGAAGTTAATATTTTTAACATTTTTCCTTAAGGACCAGTGTAATGCGGAGAAGCACGCAGATGGAATTATAGTAAGTTTAATCTAATCTTTTTGTTTCCCTTTACTTCTGCAGAGCATTATAACCAGTCATGTCAGGAGAAGCCTGAACTTCTACTCATTTTTCAACACAAATTCCTCTTTTTCACCTACTCACTGCTTTTTGTTGTTGACTCTTGCAATTTTCCTTAAGCTTCTAAAATTGCCCTTCTTTCAGCAATCATTTGCAGGGAAGATGTTAAAATTTTTCTAAGTGTTGGTTCAGATTGAATCACTTTGCATGTGTTAACATGAAGGGTTAATCATGGTGTGAAAATACAGCTCTTATGACTAAGGCATAACTCACAATGCTATATTTCTTGTCAAACTTCTTTTTTTCTCAGATGAAAGCAGAAGGGGAGGGATTCAGTATTGAAACCTATCTTAATCTATTTAATGTGTATCGGTTTCTATTTTATTTTTAGATTTTGTTTGTTAACTATCATTGCTACTGTGGTATATATTGTGTTTTTATTAGAACAAATTGCAGCATGAATTCTTTCATTTACAGCCATTTTCTTATTCTTTCCTCCTCCTCAGCTTTTTACTCTTCCCTTAGATTCAACTTCTCCTTTAAAAAGAAAAGAAAATTTTATTGTTGGTATTTCCCATCTGGAAATAAAAGTTAGAATTTGAAGATTTGTAGTTGGAGCAACCCTGTTTTTATGGTAACTGAGTGACTTCTGTTTTAGATTGTATTTCTAAAGCAGGATGCAGCCCCTTTTTTTGTCCCAAGACTTTACAGATGCCAGCTTGTCTGAGATCTGGAAACTCTTCAAAATCTTCAAAACCATCTCATGATTATACTTGAAAGGATAAGCATGTTATCTTTGTAGTTGGTTTAAAATGAAAAAAAGTTAAATATCGATGTTGTTTGCATATTTCTTAAGAAGCCAGAGATAAGAGAAGCATTTTTAAAATTTGAATTAAAGATGTTGGAATTTTTATCTGTCTTTTCACAGTGCGAGTTCAGAATTTGAGCTATGGCGATAATACAGTTATGTGGTCTAAATACAATGTAATATAATGTAGTATGTCTTTCTGAGCTATCAGTTAAGATTGTAAACCTCATGGAAAAGGACTATATATGTTGTCTAGCATGTCATGGTCCCCAAAGATCCTAAGGAAAATCATGTTGGCAATTATTTTTCTCTCTCATTCCTCAAAACAAAATTAGTTACTTTTTATTATGTTAAAAAATTGGCAGTTTTATAAAGCATACCAAAAATGTTTGGCCATTTGCAATTAAAAACATCTAGAAAGTTTATACTTACAGAAAATCTAAACCTGTAGGAAACAATCATACTTGAATCATTTGATCAGGACTGTAGCATTTTTCCTTAAGAGTTTTTATTTTTAAAAAAGAAAGGAAGCGTTCATGGTTTAAATCTTAGACCCACACAGCTAGAACCTGGCCCTGCTACTCAATAGCTATGATCTTAGGCAGGTTATTTGACCTTTGAGCCTTAGTTTCTTCAACTTTAAAGAAAGGTAGCTAGATCTACCTCAGAACATTGTTGTAAGGTACAGGATGAGCACAGAATCAATAAATGGTAGCTATACATAAATGCATGTATATATAATTTATATTTTGCAGAATGTTATTAATGATACAACTGGTTAGAGCTAAGGATTATCATTTGTTTGTGCTTCTGAAGTTCATATTCATTTTCAAAGCAAGGTGTAGAATGTAATTTGACCTATTTTAGCCTGGAATTGATTGAACAAGGACCGTAGATAAGTATGGAGTAGTTATATTTTCTGTTAACAGCAAGCAACAAAAGATATCTGGTACTTTTAATATACATGCAAAAATCTAAAAGACAAGATTAGTCTTCAGAACATTTCATCTGGAAAACAAAAGATTACATTCAAAAGATAGAATTCTACTGGTCCCTTTTACCGAAGTTATTTCTTATTCTCTTCAATAATTTTTCTTATATAAAAGGTAAGGATAAAGAGGTGACATTCTCTCCTTTCCATGGATCAATATTAATGGTGGGATTTTGCCTTTGTAAAGCACTTGGAGTTCTTTGGAGAAAACCATTAGGTAAAAACAAGGAATTTACAGCTGCAGGACTTGTTTGAGACATTTGTTTAGTTACCATCTCCTGGTCTAGGTTCTGAAGATAAGAATCATAAAGTAATAACCAAAAAGCCCCTATAGAACATATAATCCAGACATTTCTTATTTTACACGCTGGGAAAGTGAGGACCACAGTAGATAAAAGACTTGCCAAATCCTTGCCAGAATGAGGATTCTAAGGAATTAAAATTCCTAGTCTGTTTTACGTATGCTCTTCCCAGTACTTCAGAACCTTCCCTACTTCATTTTATTAGGGTTTTTATTATTAGTGATTGTTTTCAGGGTCTCTTCTCTAAGTGTCCTTTATTTTCCTGTTAAAATATTTATAGTCAGTAGACTATTGTCGTGATGAGCATCGGAATTCTTGTGCTCAAATCAGTTGATTTAAGAGATCTGATTTAGGGGCGCCCGGGTGGCTCAGTCATTGGGCGTCTGCCTTCGGCTCGGGTAATGGTCCCAGGGTCCTGGGATCGAGCCCCGCATCAGCCTCCCTGCGCAGCAGGAAGCCTGCTTCTCCCTCTCCCGCTCCCCCTGCTTGTGTTCCCTCTCTCGCTGTGTCTCTCTATCAAATAAATAAATTAAATCTTAAAAAAAAAAAATCTGATTTAGCGATTTTTAATGTTTATGCAGAGAGGGGGCTTAAGGAAAAAAATTTGAATTAAATGAGAATGCTATAAAAACTTTCCCCTTAACTCAGTTTCCATTGCTAGGGTTTCTAACTTTTTATGAATACTTTTGGGGTTCATTCATCAGTAAAGTATTTCTCTTCTAAATCTGTTTCAGTATTTTCTGTTATAAGCCTTCCCAAATACATATTTGACGTTTTCTGGATCAAGGAAAAGTAAAGAACTTAAAATTTTATTTCTTGGGTTTTATCCAGTATAGTCTTCTAAATGATAGATCTAAACTTTACTCTGGCAAAGACCTTAGTTTAAAGCTGCCCTCCTCCAAGTAAAAAAGCATCAGTATATAGAGTCTTGTTTTTATTTTTATTTATTTTTTTAAAAGATTTTATTTATTTGACAGAGTCAGCGAGAGAGGGAACACAGGCAGGGGGAGGAGGAGAGGAAGAAGCAGGCTTCCGGCTGCATAGGGTGCCCAATGCGGGGCTCGATCCCAGCACCCTGGGATCATGACCTGAGCGGAAGGCCGATGCTTAACGACTGAGCCACCCAGGCGCCCCTGGAGTCTTGTTTTTGAAAATGTCCTCATGCTGGCAGAATAAGTTCTTGGCTTGAAATCAGAAAGACCTAGACTTTTTTTCTCTCTAAAATTGTAGCTACATATTTATTTTTTTTTCTAAATTCTCAAAAAGAAAGCCTCCTTCCCTGCATCCCCCAATTAGAAGATACATCTCTTTGCCTTTAGTGACTGTAAAACTAGGTGCCTGTACATTGTGTACACAGTGATAGAAGGTGGCAATAGTGTGAGATGGAAAGATGAAATCCTAGTCGTGCAGGTATATTTACCAGTTGTAGTTGTAATGTTTAATAACACCAAAGTAAGAGAGAGCATTTCTCTCTAACTTCGATAGAGAAACATTATTTGTGGTGAATTGAGAAGTTACTATTTTGGATTCCCGAAATTTTCCCACACCATTTTATAACTCTTTGCAGGTTTTTATATTTAGCTTTATCTTTCTGTTTGACAAATTCTTTCATTTTCCCTCCTACTATGTTGTTTTTTTAAGAAACTCTTAGACTTCTATATCATAAATGAATTTCATTTCCTCTTTGCATTTTGATCAGCATATCTATATACCTACCCTCAGGACTTTGCTGTCAGAAATGTGGGCATTTCGTACATTTGGGAGGGTCAGTACTGGAAGGGCATTTAATTAAAAATAACTATACTGTGTTTCTTTATCTCAGAGTACTATTAATCCTGTAGATGCAATATATCAGCCTAGTCCCCTGGAACCTGTGATCAACACAATGCCTACCCAGACTGTCTTACCTCCAGGTATGGTATTTGCAAAAATGTTTCAGATTCATTGATTAGAAAAAACTTAATTTGTGTAGCCATCATAGTAATCTTGAAGGGCTCGTTTTTGGGGTTTTTTTGTTGTTTTATTTTTAAGATTTTATTTATTTATTTGGCAGAGAGAGAGTGAGAGAGCACGAGCAGGGGCAGCACAGAGGGAGAGGGAGAAGCAGGCTTCCTACCAAGCAGGTAGCCCAATGTGGGGCTCAATCCTAAGACCTTGGGATCATGACCTGAGCTGAAAGCAGATGCTTAGCCAACTGAGGCACCCAGGCGCCCCTGGTTTTGTTTTTCAATAAGTAAATGGAATCACAAAAAAGTGGCACAGCAGAAAATGAACTGGAAAAAGATAATATTTTTGGTATTGGGGATTTTTTAATACAGTGAAAGAGCTTTTGGTTTTCAAAGTGAGATGGAAGGAAAAGGTTACTGAGACTTGGAGTAACTGGTGGGACAGAATCCTATGACCCTGGATTCATGCTACCAAAGAAAGCTTAATTACATTGACCTACTTGAAGGTAATCCAGGAACTTTCTATTTGGGGGTATTTTTTATAGCTATGAAGAATACAAATGGTTTCTTCTAATGGTGGACCCTAAGGTAATGGAAGGTAAGGGTGAAATTTGTGATGCCTACTGATTAGAAAGACCTATTTTTAAGTATAGAGTAATCTGTAGGTTTTTTTGTGTTTTTGTTTTGTTTTTTAAACTAGCAAAGGAAGGTTTAGGGACAACACCCATGTATACGAAATCCTTTACTTTTTATTGCATCCAACGTAGTTAAGTCAGAAATTGTAACAAAAAAATCCCTTTAAAAATACTTAAAAAGTATGTGAAATCCTTTTGTGAATTTTGATTCCTTAAGAGAATGAGCTTAGTATCTAGTGGGGCTAAAGAGGAAGTACTATTGTGCGCCATTTTATTTTATTTTATTTAAGATTTATTTATTTTTAAGATTTATTTGTGAGAGAGAGTGCACGAGCGCCTAAGCAGGGGCAACGGTAGGCAAAGGGAGAAGCAGGCTCCCTGCTGAGCAAGGAGCCTAAAAGGGACTTGATCCCAGGACTCTGGGATCATGACCTGAGCCGAAGGCAGATGCATAATCTGCTGAGTCACCCAGGCATCCCTAAAGATTTATTTATTTTAGAGAGCATGCGCATGTGCGCAAGAGGGAGAGGGAAAGAATCTCAAGCAGACTCCCCACTGTGCGCAGAGCCCCAGTGCAGGGCTCCATTCCATGACCCTGAGACCAGACCTGAGCCGAAATCCAGAGTGGGACACTCAACCAACTGAGCCACCCAGACGCCCCATGTTCCCCATTTTAAAATGACTTTATGTGGTTTGATGCTTAGACAGACTTTATCATCAGAAGTGTTTGCTAGTTTTATAGAGCATTTTTACTGAGGTTTTAGCCTACCTTGACTAGTCTCTTGATATCCTGCCTAATGTCTTAGTACTTGGTAGCATATCACCATTGAGTTTAAAGGGGATAGAAGGTCTGGAAGAAGGAATAGCATGGAACTTGACTTAATGGAAGACAGTTTCAAAAATTGCTGATCTTTAATATTTTGAATTCCACACAATTGCAGTTAACACAGTTGTATTTGGCTTTTTTTCCTAACTTATATGTTCAAATCTTCTAGAACCTGCTCAGTTATGTAAGTCAGAGCAGCGTCCATCTTCCCTACCAGTTGGACCTGTATTAGCTACCTTGGGACATCATCAGACTCCAACACCAAATAGTACAGGTACAGATTTATGTAATTTCTTTAATTCTCATAACTCCCCATTAACATTTAAGATTTGTGTTTGATCGCTGATGGGAAAAGGGATGAAAT